ATCAGCACTTGGTGGGTGATGTGGTCAGCATCATGCTGGCCGCCTTTACTTCTCAGGACTGCACCTGGTACCCACTCAAGGCTGGGTTGACTTGGGAGTCAAGGTCATTTTTGAAGAAAAAAGTCCAGCTCTGCCACGGCTCAAACCCATGACCTTCCGTTCCATAGGCAGGCATCTAGCTGCCAATGCCACAATGACTCCCTTCCATACATAGGAGAATATTTTTTTTTTAAGAAAACCATTTTGTTTTTACTTATATGCCCTACATGACCAATATTGTTTTGAAAACAGTTCTCCGCGGCTAAAAAAATACACTTATGAGCACAGCTGGGGTTATGAGGAGAGTCTGGCCGATTGGTTAAAATACTCATGCAGGAGGCCTGGAATCATATCCTCGCTAAGGCTGGGGATTTTTTCTGTCAGGGGGCAAAAATAAAAACCTCACCTGCACAGTTCGAGGTGACGGCACTAGCCGTGCTGCCTTAAATCCTATGACTGAAACATCCCCCTGCCTACACCACAAAATTGGTATAATAAAGGCAGAAATTGGCAGTTTGGCTGGGGTTGTGCTTGTAATGAGATGTTTATTTGTCCTATATATGGAAATTTATCAAACAACCTGAAGAAGCAGGATGCACCTCAGAGGAAAGTGAAGCTCAGATCAAGGCAGCCGTCATGACCTGTCTGATCACTTTCCATCCAGAACACAGTTACAGTTCTGAAGACCCGATCAGTCTCCTCACCCGAAAGTGACAGACAGTTGGATTGAGACTGAGCTGGGCAAAACCATTTCATGTGGACAGGTACCCCAGCATACTTAACATGTGCCGCAGACGTGACCCCTACATATAGTAGACATATTCCAGTTCTGGACAGGCAGCAAACCAAGCGGTACGAATGAGAGAAAGACTGGCATCACATAACAGCCTTCATAGAGAGATATGACCTTCTCATTTGGAAACCAGGGAGAAGTAAACAAATAAGGAGGACCTGCACTTTGCAAGAGAAAAATTGGTTGGAGTTCAGAAAACAGATATCGAGGTTAGTTGCGTATCCTTTACAGGACATTGCAGAACCAACCCCAGCAGCCCCTGGCTGTTGTGTGGTTTCTCTAGGCAAATTTACGTCCAGTAGTTTGCCATTGCTTTCCGGAGGGTCGGCCCCCTGACACCACTGTCGAAACCAATGCAAGGCGCATGGCCTGCAGCTGAGATTGAACCGGCACCCTCGCATTACTAAGCGTTTGCATCGACTTAACCACAGAGCCAACAGTACAGATATAGGTACATAATAGTCTTTTGCCAAATGACATGGGACGGTGTTTGTTGCAGATGCCATCTCATGGCTGTCATTGTTAACATTTGTCTGTCAGCTGTTAATTATGTCATTGTTTGTTTCTCACTAGTATATATTATAGTTATTATTGAGTTTTCACACCTTCTTGAGATACACTTAATAATATTTTAGGACATTAAGACTTATGCTTTCACCTGATGTATGTAGGTGTGCGGAACAAGGACCATATTTTGGCAATGTGGTTATCTGCTGTGTGTATATACTTATGTTTACATGTGCACAGACATATGCATGTATTGATGCCTGTGTGTGTCTATACATCATTGTTCAAATTTCATTAGTTAAGCTGGTGGCTTTGTGATTGTGCATGTTTGTGTGTGTCCATGAGCATGCTTTGGCTATGGTGAGCTGGTGTATGGTATGTATATGACATAGGTGTACGTCCTGGACCACATTTTTACGATATTGAAGTGATGTGTGATGTCTTTATGTCTGTGTGTCAGGGAATGTACTTTATGCTGAGCTGTATGTATGATGTGATGATGTGTGTATGATGTGATGATGTTTGTATAATGTATGTGTCCAAGACCGTAAGTTGACTATGTTGAGGTGATGTGTGTATGTGTCTGTATGTCAATGAAAATACTGTGTCTGTGCTGAGCTGATGTCTGTATGGCTGTGTGTCAGGGAATATACTTTATGCTGAGCTGTATGTATGATATGATGATGATGTGTATGGCTGTGTGTCAGGGAATATACTTTATGCTGAGCTGTATGTATGATGTGATGATGTGTGTATGACTGTGTGTGTCCAGGACCATAAGTTGACTATGTTGAGGTGATGTGTGTATGTGTCTGTATGTCAGTGAACATACTGTGTCTGTGCTGAGCTGATGTCTGTATGGCTGTGTATGCGTCCATGCTGATCTGGTGTGCAATGTATGTATGCCTGTGTGTTCTGATGCATACTTCAACAATACCTAGCTGGTATGTCTGCTTCTGTCAAGGACATGGGTACATATAGCTCTAGAAGCAGAACACATTTCTTGCTGTGAACTTTCATATGATTTTGTGTTAGCTTGGAAACTACTGCAAATGAACATCCAATCATAGCATGTTTTCATATATTGATTGTAACTGTCATACATTTCAAAGCTGCAAATGTCTGCACCTGGTGTTATTTTTATTGTATTCATCTTATCACTGTGTGTTGTTGCTGCTGTAATTGTTGTTGCTGTTGTTGTAGTTGTTGGTATCAGTGACCACAGGAAGAAATGGGAGGGAGACAGTAGCAGTGAGGTGACAGTTACAGTAAGTAGTCATAGAAAGGTGACAGTATAAGAAGTAGTAACAGTAAGTGTGACACTACAGGAACTATTGTCGGTAAAGGAAGCAGTAACTGTAAGGTGACAGTACAGAAAACGGTGAGAGCAAGTAGGACATTGCATGAAACAGTCACAGTAAAGTAACAGTACAGGAAGTAGTAACAGCAAAGTGACAGTACAGGAAGCAGTAACAGCAAAGTGACAGTACAGGAAGCAGTAACAGCAAAAGTGACTGTACAGGAAGTAGTAATAGTAAAGTGACACTACAGGAAGCAGTAACAGTAAAAGTGACAGTACAGGAAGCAGTAACAGTAAAAGTGACAGTACAGGAAGTAGTAAAAATGACAGTACAGGAAGTAGTAACAGTACAAGTGACAGTACAGGAAGCAGTAACAGTAAAAGTGACAGTACTGGAAGTAGTAACAGTAAAAGTGACAGTACAGGAAGAAGTAACAGTAAAGTGACAGTACAGGAAGCAGTAACAGTGAAGTGACTGTACAGGAAGTAGTAATAGTAAAGTGACAGTACAGGTAGCAGTAACAGTAAAAGTGACAGTACAGGAAGCAGTAACAGTAAAAGTGACAGTACAGGAAGTATAAACAGTAAAAGTGACAGTACAGGAAGTAGTAACAGTAAAGGGACAATACAGGAAGCAGTAAAAGTGACAGTACAGGAAGCAGTAACAGCATAAGTGACTGTACAGGAAGTAGTAACAATAAAGTGATTGTACAGGAAGCAGTAACAGCAAAAGTGACTGTACAGGAAGTAGTAACAATAAAGTGGCTGTACAAGAAGCAGTAACAGTAAAAGTGACAGTATAGGAAGTAGTAACAGTAAAAGTGACTGTACAGGAAGTAGTAAAGCAAAAGTGACTGTACAGGAAGTAGTAACAGCAAAGTGACAGTACAGGAAGCAGTAACAGCAAAGTGACAGTACAGGAAGCAGTAACAGCAAAAGTGACTGTACAGGAAGTAGTAATAGTAAAGTGACACTACAGGAAGCAGTAACAGTAAAAGTGACAGTACAGGAAGCAGTAACAGTAAAAGTGACAGTACAGGAAGTAGTAAAAATGACAGTACAGGAAGTAGTAACAGTACAAGTGACAGTACAGGAAGCAGTAACAGTAAAAGTGACAGTACAGGAAGTAGTAACAGTAAAAGTGACAGTACAGGAAGTAGTAACAGTAAAGTGACAGTACAGGAAGTAGTAAAGCAAAAGTGACTGTACAGGAAGTAGTAACAGCAAAAGTGACTGTACAGGAAGTAGTAATAGTAAAGTGACAGTACAGGAAGCAGTAACAGTAAAAGTGACAGTACAGGAAGCAGTAACAGTAAAAGTGACAGTACAGGAAGTAGTAAAAGTGACAGTACAGGAAGTAGTAACAGTACAAGTGACAGTACAGGAAGCAGTAACAGTAAAAGTGACAGTACAGGAAGTAGTAACAGTAAAAGTGACAGTACAGGAAGTAGTAACAGTAAAGTGACAGTACAGGAAGTAGTAAAGCAAAAGTGACTGTACAGGAAGTAGTAACAGCAAAAGTGACTGTACAGGAAGTAGTAATAGTAAAGTGACAGTACAGGAAGCAGTAACAGCAAAAGTGACTGTACAGGAAGAAGTGACAGTATAGGAAGTAGCAACAGTAAAAGTGACAGTACAGGAAGCAGTAACAGCAAAAGTGACAGTACAGGAAGTGGTAACAGTAAAGTGACAATACAGGAAGCAGTAACAGCAAAAGTGACTGTACAGGAAGCGGCAACAGTGACAGTAGAGGAAGCAGTGACAGTAAAGGAAGTAGCAACAGTAAAAGTGACAATACAGGAAGCAGTAACAGTAAAAATGACAGTACAGGAAGCAGTAACAGCAAAAAGTGACAGTACAGGAAGCAGTAACAGCAAAAAAGTGACAGTACAGGAAGCAGTAACAGCAACAGTGACAGTAAAGGAAGCAGTAACAGCAAAAGTGACAGTACAGAAAGCAGTAACAGCAAAAGTGACAGTACAGGAAGCAGTAATTGTAAAGAGACAGTACAGGAAACAGTAACAGCAAAAATGACAGTACAGAAAGTAGTATCAGCAAAGTGACAGTACAGGAAACAGTAACAGCAAAAGTGACAGTACAGGAAGTAGTATCAGCAAAGTGACAGTACAGGAAACAGTAACAGCAAAAGTGACAGTACAGGAAGCAGTAACTGTAAAGAGACAGTACAGGAAGCAGTAACAGTAAAGTGACAGTGCAGGGAAAGGAAGCAGTGACAGTACATGAGGAAGAAGAGTTGCAAGGCTGACGGTAATGGTACAATAAGTGGTAGCATGAATAAAATCAAACCTGGGCATATGGCTGTTTACCCTGTAGAAGCTTTAACACACAAAAACACACTGGCTAGGCAAACATCACAACTTTCATAAAGTTCAGATTGGAATCCATGTCATAAGCAGAGTGGTTGGCCATGAAGGGGCCCCACTGACCATTACACTCCCTGCCCCCAGACAAAACCGGGGCGCCCGAGCTGCCCTGACATGTGGGCGTATCGTACATGACTTTATAAACAGGCAGGTTCTTTTGTCCGAGGCAGGCCATGTATTTCCCATAATCCTCTTCACGGTGGGATATAAACCACTGCCTCTCCAGCTGTCCGGCAAGTCTGGCGTTTTCCATAGTCTCTTCCGTGACGTTCTCTTCCGTTATCTCCAACACTCGCCCAATGCTGATCTTCTTTGGCAGCCCATGAGGATGTGAGATGAGGATGGCGAAGGAGCACATGGATTTGACAACCAAGGGAGATAAAATGTGAAAAGCAGCAGCTCGATCAAGGTCGTATTTTTCCAGTCTGCGGAACAACTCCTGGTCATGGATGGTAACTTTGAAGAAAGTTTTATCTGAAGACGGTTTGGTGTAGAAAAGTTTGATAGCGTACTCTCTGATGACCCCGGTTCTATTTGGGCTATCATAGAAGAAATCTACCACCGTCCTAGCGAGTTCATCATCATCATACAAAACATGTTTGTTAGTGAAAATTTTCAGATCCCCTTCATAGATGGTGTGCCGAGGTCCCAGATCTTTGGCTCGATGACAGTTAGGGATAGGACAATCCCTGGACACAAAATTTTCAGCATTGTCTAAGACATAGGTTCCCGAGGCGGTCCTGGTGCGGCGAGAGTCCCGGTAGTTGGCGCAGGGGTCACCATCTGGTCTGTTCTTGCTTGTCCAGTTGACTAGAACTCGAACCTAGAGAGAGAGAGAATACATGAGAGTTCAGTAAAGGTCAGGTGTGTTATTTACTGAGAAGTTACAAGAAGTATTCAAACTTTTTTTTCCCAAACGGCCTTGACTCCCAGGTCAATCCAGTCTTAAAAAGGTACCAGGTAAAGTCCTGGGAAGTAAAGGAGGCTGGCGTCATGTTGACCATATTACCCAAAGAGTGACAGTTCATCTATTAAATACAGGCCTGGCACTAAATATTGAGTACGCCTGAAACGTGAACAATGGTACTTTGCGTTTATTTTTTACAAGAAGTATTAACCCTACTCTGCTCTGATGTGATGTTGTTACTTTCCATATGTAACACTCAGGAACCAACAATCTGTCTACAAGTAAGCCAGATCTGTCAAACAGATGTACACAGCCAGATCTGTCAAACAGATGTGCACACAAAACTTCTGAAAAAAGACCAAAGTCCAGAAGTGAGTGAACAACTAAAACTTTACGCCAGAGTTTAAAATTGGTTAACGTGAAGAAGAAGAAAAACATGGACTGTGAACATAATTGAAGAAAAACATGGACTGTGAACATCATTCCAGAAATTGTCTGGCCAGTCAGCTGTCATCGACTAGGAGCACAACTGCAGCCTCAGCCTAGAGAAACCTCTATTGTTTGTTCTCTGAGCTGTATAAACATTCTTCTTCTTTGTTTACCGACTGTAAGCTCTGGCAGAAAGTCATAATTGTTTGTCCATGTGGACTCTGGCGTTTTGTCAGCGTATGAGTGTACATCCATTTTACTGGCTTTTTTTGTGTGCTGTTGGTTGTTACTTGCCATGAGGACAGATGGACTCCGACTTTGAAAGAAGTTTTCAGTTAGTTAACTCCAACGACATGCTTGTTGGGGAGACAGTGGGTCTATTCTTGTTGTCCCCACACTGGTGCCCTGGAACCCACAGAGTATAAACATTTAATCATAAACTTTTTAGTTAACAACTTCCCTATAACTGTGTAACTCCTGGCCTCAGTTCTCTTCTGAATTTTTAGTTTCTTTCTCTTCTGTCTTCTTCATCAATAACCCTTAAAAATTTATTTGGCATACTGTGCTGTGGTTAACAGCTAGGCTGTGATATCTATACCTTTTGGCCCTACACAACTTCTTAGGAGGGCAGTGAGTCAACCACAAGGGAAAAATTCTTTCTGAAATTTAAAAGCATCGCCTTTCTTCCCCTTCCATCATCCCCTGTGTGGAATCATAGATACCCGAATCCAGAGGCTGAGGAGCGAGCACCCCCCCCTCCAATAATTAGCATAAAATATGCTCTTTGTTGAAGATGGCTTATTTTAAACATCAATCTGGCCACTTCTTGTGACTTGAAATTACTTCAAATAGAATAAACAACTATATCAGCCTACCTTAATGATACTGTCTGTCCTAACTTAGAATAACAGTTAGTGAGCCAGTGTCTAATAAGTTTCATGTTAGTGTATGTGTTGTCAGCACTCCCCCTCCTCCACCCCTAATGTTTTCTTCATGGCGGTGTTCCGGTCTAGAATGGCACCAGTCAATACTTACTGTCATCTTGCACTGAGCCATGATATAGTTAAGGACATCCTGGCGGCGGATCTCCACAGGCAGCTTGTCTAGCGTCATGTCGCTGACGGAGATGAAGTTGGCGTGATCGTTGTAGCCGTTCTTTGGACACTGATCCAGGTCCAAGAACAGGGCGTCTTCATTACAGTAGGCCTCAGGGTGATCCAGGTCATGGGCAATGGCCACTTCCACAACTCGACCACCTGGGGAAATACTTTAAATATAGAGTCTTGCTAGTGATAGATCCATTAGCGAAGCATGCATAAAACGGCTGTTATTGTTGTGTACACTTTTAATTGCAAAATAAAAATGTATTATATTCCTATCTTATTTTGGCTAAGTAAGGTCACAAATGAAGAACTGAGGAGGAAAACAGAATGTGCATCACTGGCAAATGTTATCAAAGTAAGACGATGGAGATGGCTTGGACATGTTTGCAGAATGCCTTGTGACACTCTGGCCAAAAAAAACCAGCAGATCAGCAGCAATGGAGATCCCTTGTGAATGCCTTATGTGTCAACAGCGACATGAAGAGGATATAGATAGTATATAGATATTCATTCATTCATTCAGTGGCATGTCCCTCGCGGAACCTCGCTGCCATAACAACCCTCCGGAAAACCTTCCTATCCTGAGCAAGATGTCCTGCGTCTGATACACCCATCTGGAGATCATCTGCCACATCCTGCACCCATCTTCTCCTTGGCCTTCCTCTTCCTCTCTTCCCAGGCATATACCCCTCCATTATTGTTCTCTCGTTATGATTTTTTGATAGGTTAATAATACCTGTAATACTGTATCATCAGCATAACGAATTTCTGGTATTTCATGACCACCGATGTTTAGGGCATCATATTGTTCCTTGTTTATATCATCTCTTACATTTCTCATTATATTTTCGGCGTACATGTTGAACAAATACGGTGACAGCACACATCCCTGACGGACTCCTTGCTTGATGCCAAACCAGTCTGATGTCTCTCCATCTATTCTGACTGCTGCTAGTTGGTCTTGATAGAGCATTTTAATGAGCTGCACTATATGTGATGGAAAGCCCATATTCCACATGATTTCCCAAAGCTTCTGATGTTGTACACAGTCAAATGCTTTTGAATAATCCACAAAACATAAGAACAGATTTACATTAAATTCTCTACACTTCTCTATTATTAAACGCATGTTGAATATATGATCTCTTGTTCCTCTTCCCTGTCTAAATCCAGCCTGAGCTACATTAATCTCTTCTTCCATTTTCTTATGCAGTCTTCTCATTATGATTTTTAGTAGAATTTTACTTGCATGACTGATCAGAGCAATAGTTCGATAGTTTGTACATAATTTCAGGTCACCCTTTTTTGGTATTGGAATGAAGATAGTTCTCTTCCAGTCTTTTGGCCAAATACCATATTTCCATATCTTTTCACATAATGCATGATAGATTTTTATGCTTTCTTCTCCTCCCGCTTTAATCAATTCAGCTGGTATCTCATCACATCCAGGTGATTTACCATTTTTCATGCTCCTTATTGCCCATGAAATTTCATCTAATGAAGGTTCAGGTTCTGCCTCTACTGTTACTGGTTCATGTATATCATTCATATCCTCACTGTCATTCATATCATACATTCCGCTGCAGTATTCCTGCCATCTATATAGATATTACTATCTATTATTACTGTCTACTATTTATGACAAATAGCCATTCGATTTAGGTCTTGCCGAGCATGTAAAGCATGTTAGCATGTGTAACTCTTTCAGTGATATGTTGTGCCTTTCTGAGAACCACATACACAATTGTTACTTCAGTTCCTTCTGTCCCATGGTATTATTATATGAACTTTTTCAGGGCCATACGCTGTAACTTTATGTAGCTCCTGCTTAGAAAGTTATGAATTTAAAGACACACATATTTGGCAATTAGTCAACATAGCAACACCAAGACAACATTGGCCACATGTGTAATGACCCTGCTTTTGTCTTACCTTGGATAGAATAGAAATAGTGACGAAGCTATACTACAAATGTAATACGTGCAAAGATAAAGATACCCTTCACCAGTTCAGTACTAGAAAAAGCATACAGTAAAAAGTTAAAAACCAAGGGCAGTAATTAAGGGTAATTCGAAACGGTAATCCCTAGTAGTGCAATTAAATTTAAATTCCATTGATTCATTTAACAGTTGAATCGAAAATGATACTTGATGTTCCATAAAGTATCATTTTGTTAAAAAGGCGGGAGGATGTAATGACCCTGCTTTGCATGGTCTCCACGAGTACATTGTGGCCAGCGGAAAGTCCGTGCTACAAGTGACAGCACGAGATAATTGGGTCTGGTCGAGAAAGCGAGGGGAAGCCGGAGCTAGACTCGTGGTCAGTTGATCACCAGAAGTCAGAGAAGACGGTAGCATTTTCTTAAGAGTATTTTTGATATTGCGCGAGGTACTAATGTTTGAACATGTTGCGTGCGAGAGAAGTATAATTAATTGTGGAAACATGTGGAACAAATGTGACCGAATAAACTGACTGCATGTACCAAGAAGCTGAGCGGCGTTTGTGTTGTCAACCCTAGACGTTAAAGCAGTGAAAGTTTTGTAGCAGAGAGTGAGCCGTGGCGAAAGTCATTATGTAGTGAGCCAAGGTTATTCCAAGTTAAACCAAGGTTTATTACAACATGCTTACGCCACTTGAGCAGTAACTGTACTGATATGATGCTAGCTGCTCATGCATGCTCTCAACAGCAAAGTGACAAGATAGAAAATTTCATGTGATTCCCTTTCCACTGTAATCTTTATTTGCTAACACTTTAATTGTGTCTAAATTGCTTACACATGCGAACTAATCATGCCTCCCCACTGGGTAGCACCAGCAAAAGTCGTCATTTCTTCTTCTTCGTCTTCTTCTTCTTTTTTTTTTTTTTTTCTCATTCTATTTCATCTTCTTCTTCTTCTCTTGCATAAGCCCATAAAAAAGCGGTTGGCATATTATTTTGCAATTCACAGCTAGGCTGTAATATCTGCACCTTTCAGCCCAACAAATCCTAAATCCGTAATTAGTTGTCTTTTTTTTTTTTTTTTTTTAGGAAAGCGGGTCTATTCTTTTTGCCCTGAAACCCATATGAGGAATCACTTCAAATTTCTTCACCAATAAGTTTTTAATACATTTTTAAAGAAGAAAGTGACTAAAACACAGTCACACATGACAGGGTCATTGTGGTATAAAGGACTTCATCAGAAAACAAAACAAAAACAGTAACAAGCAGGGAAAAAAAACATAAAAATCACTTATATAAGAGATATTAATCTGACAGAGGTAGTATGTTTTAGAAGAAATGACCAGATCATGTGAGCCCAGATGAACAAAACTGGTCAAGCTCAATGAGTGATATACTATTTTTCACTTATACACAGGACACTGCAGCCTCAACAAACTAGTTTAAAGGACGTTGCCGAACCAACCCCAGCATAATTTGTTTGGCTGTTGTGGGTTTTTTTAGGCAAATGTTACATTCAGTAATTTGCCACTGCTTCCTGAACGGTCAGCTCTCAGTACCACTGTCACAACCAACCCAAGACAAATCGTCCGCAGCTGGGAGTGAACCCAGCACCCCGGCATTATAAAGCGTGTTCGAACGCCCAAGCCACATATGCTGAAAACTCAACTAAAACAAACACTTATATCAATTAAGTATGCGCCAAACAGCTCTCTGCTGACTAGACCTCAAAACATGTCTTACAAGTCTTTCCTCTCCTGGAGGAGCTGTGAAACAACTAGTGGCCATATCCAGTAGACCTGACAACTAAGCTTTGGGGAAGACTGACATGTCAGTTTATGGCTCAAGTGGTTTAAACACATGACCAGAGATCACTGAGGAAGAAGGATGGGTGATGTAATTGACATTACGCTTGTCACAAATACATTCAGGAACATTTCTTTGTACTGATTTTAGATTTGAGTCAACTTTAGAGAGCCTAAGTCAGTTTTACACATACTTTTCAGTTATGGGTTGGAACTTATGACTTCCTAGGCATCGGTCAGGCTTGTGGGCTCCTAATATTACCACATACACCAGCAAACATGCACGTACATGTGCACACATACACGCACACACTAGGGTTGTCATACATCCTAATTTCACGACCAAATTTGATAGTTATCTGACCTTTATAATACTGTGACCTGGTGACATCTTTCTGACATTCCCTTTTATGAAGGCCCCAGTGGCTTCCCTGGCACTCGCGGTTACAGTATTTGGCCCACCAACATCTGGTACAAGACTTCATATTGTAGGCTCGCTTGCCGCAGTTGGCGCACTCAAACTCCACCGGCATCAGTCGTACCGGCCCACCCTGCTGCTGCTGCTGTTGGTGGTGGTGGTGGTGGTGGTGGTGGTTCTGCCGCTGCTGCTGCTCATGCCGTTTCTGCTCGTGACCTTTTTGAGGTGGGTGTTTGGTGTCTAGGCTCAGTGACGTATGATGTGAAGTGTTGGTTGTCATGGTGGAGTCTACAGGCTCATCCCATTATTGTTACAGTGAAGTGTGAATCAGCACTAAGTTGTCTGTTAAGAGAAATGCTAATCAAGTTATCTGTTTAGTAAAGTTTGCAGTCAAAATTTGACAATTACCTTACCTTTATAATACTGGGACCTGGTGACATCTTCCTGACATTCCCTTTTATGAAGGCCCCAGTGGCTGGTCCTGACATCAGACATTAGGATCTTGAAAGCCAGGCCTTACAAACTCGAGTAGATCAGTCGCAGTTACCATGGTGTGGACATGTATGCAGAATGGGAGACAATCGTCTACCAGGGCAGATATGGTAGGTTAAGAGCCAGGGAACAAAACCTCTAAGGCGACCCAGGGTTTGCTGGGAAGAACATCCGACAGCCCCTAACTGACAGAGGATTTGAATGGGGAAAACAAAAAGAAAACTACTGATAGAGAAGTCTGGCAATCTCCTTGCCAAACCTCTACAACTCAAGGTATAAGAGAAGGTAGGTAGGTAGTTTTACTTCCCAGGACTTTACCTGGTACCCTTTTAAGGCTGGGTAGGCCTGGGAGCCTTGGTCAATGTGGGAGGGGGGGCGGGTCTCGCAAAAAAAAATATCCTAACCTGATTGTCTTCTGAAGTTAACGCGGGAGTTATAATTGAATGGCATTCTGCCACCGATATTCACAAGGCGAACGTTGGGAAAGTGTTAAACTCACGGAGAAATGAGGATTCCGGGAACTGAGGGCGCCAAAATGTTGCTGACTTGGTTATCGGGAATTCGCCACCGAGCCAGGTCAAGCACGGCTAAATCTAGATATACAGCCGGACGTGGGCCAATTGAGTTTAGCCACTTCTGACTGTATTTATTTCTATAGAAGGCGGTGGTTTATCATTGAACATTCACTGTGAACTCAGCAGGTTGCATGATAAAGCCGGAGCGATGGCGTGCTTCTTCTTGCGTCAGTGTTATTTTTACAACTCTAGTATAAGCATTGTGTCGGCTCTGTGGCTAAGTCGATGCGAACGCTTCCTAATGCCGGGATGCTGGGTTCGATCCCAGCTGCGGGCCATGCGCCTTGCGTTGGTTTCGACAGTGGTATCAAGAAAGCCGACCGTTCAGCAAGCAATGACAAACTTCTAGACGTAAATTTGCCTAGAAAAAAACCGCACAACAGTCAGACACAACAGGGGTTGGTTCTGCAACGTCCTGTAAAGAATACCCAACTAACCACCAATATAAAGATTGAAGTAGCACTTTTGTTTCGCAGAGGTAGTTCAAATTTTTTGCTTTGTTAAAAAAAATCGTCACGTTCAACCAGCATTTCCGAAGGGGGAGCTTTAGGTTACAATTGTGACTAGGTTATGTGCGCAGTATAAAATGGCTTAGCACTGCACACCACCAAGAGCCTGAACACGACTGTTGCAGAGTTGATACAATCAGAGGATACGGATCCAAATACTGTCCCAACTAGCGACGAAGTCGTCTACCGAGCAGCGAACGGGCAACCAGGTCGCCGATGGTAGTTCAACTGTGTCGCTTAAACCATACCAGGACCGTGCAACGAGCGACCCACACCCGGTTACACAAAGTGCCACCCCTCGGATGAGGATGAGGCTCGACAAATGTGGTTGGGGTCTTTGCTAACAGAAATCAGTAATCTATTAATATCCTACTCCAAATAGGGAAAATCCAAAGGTTACGGGACAGTCAAATATTTCAAGGGGTGGTAGATTGGCTGCGTGCAGTCGTGGGACAAAAGGCTGCATGCAGTCGTCGGACGTAGGCTGCACTCTCTCGTGGGACGTAGGTGGGTTGGGGTTAGGGCCAGTTCTATATGTTTTGGGATCGTTAAATGCATCAGAAAACAGGGAAACACAGTCTAACCACCCTCTAAAATGTTGGACTGTCCTATGACGACTTTTTGGTGTAGGATATTACGAAAGAGCCGTCCGACGAATTCTTGTCAAGGCAAAATCATCCTAGATTTGCTCCACAAATCTTCCTCCAATCTGGGCTGTCTTCTTCTTCTTCTTCTTCTTCTTCTTCTTCTTCTTCTTCTTCTTCTTCTTCTTCTTCTTCTTCTTCTTCTTCTTCTTCTTCTTCTTCTTTTTCTTCTTCTTCTTCTTCTTCTTCTTCTTCTTCTTCTTCCTCGTCCTCTTTATTTTTAGTACACTCCCAATCCCTTTTCAAGATTTAACACGCAAAGCATAAATTTAAAATATGAATGCGAAATTTGTGAAAGGTACCAAAACATCGGGCGTGGTACCAAAAGTACAGTTTTGCCCTGTAAAGTTCAAATAGTACCAAATGTGTACGAAAGTACAAACTTCAACAGCCCTGTTTAAACCTCAATCAAAACAAAGCTTTTATTGTAAACAGGGAGCTCCGGAATATATAGTAACTTTTAACAAGTCGGCGTCTGTAGCTTAGATGTTGCGAACTCTTCGTAATTCCGGGATGCCAGGTTCCATCCCAGCTGCCGGCGATTTGGCAGAAGATCGTCTTGCGTTGGTTTGGACAGTGTTATAGAGAGCCGACTGCTTAGTAGGCAATGGCAAACTACTGAAAGCCAACTTTGCCTAGAAAACCACAACAGAAAAATGCTGTAGCAAGGCAAACGGCTTCTGATATATAATATTTTTCTGTGTATTAATTAATATCTTTTCCAAAGTTTTTCAAGTTGAAAATTTGGGTGTCCTCTTATTTACAAAATGTATTTATAATATTTATTTCTTAATTTTGTGGAGGCGTCTCATACACTAAAGTACACTGTAAATTTTCTGACAGAATGATCAGGCAGGGGGTGGGGGGACACATCCTCCAATGTCAGCAGAGCAACGTCCTTGCTACACACCAATTCGTGACACAGCAAACAGCGTGTACAGTTTCATGCCAGGCCGCGCGAAGGAAACATACGGGCAGATAGGTCATTAGCATAAAAATAGCTAATCGCAGCGTCTATATCCGCTTTCCAAACATACCGAATATATAACTGAGTGTACGCTAGCATCGTGACAACTTCCGTGACAGCGGTACATAAACGAATGGCGCAGTTTGTATTCAACAGCTACGTCTGAAGGAAAACTGAGCTTATCAAACACTCTTCTACCTTCTACAGAGCTGAAGGAAAAATATCAAGGAACTGGGCGAGAGTATAAAACCCACGGTTTTTTTTTTTTTTAAATGCTTTTATTAGGGTCGCTTATGTTTGTTTGTCTGGCTCCATTTTCACGCTCGATTCAAAATCAGAATTAGGTGCATTGGTTACTGTATTCAGTTCAGGCAATAAGAGCTTAAGATCGAAAGACAAAGATTTCGCAGTTTAGCTGTTAACCACAACCGATGAACCGCTTCCTAAAGGCGTATGCAGAAGATGAAAACCAAGTGTTTTATTTTTAGCCGACCACAAACGACGTCACAGGACAAACCAATATTTTAGAGGGTGGTAAGACCGGGTTTTCCGTGTTTTCTGTGCTGCAGCGCGTTTCTTTCACGGTCAAGGTCCGCACGCGTTTACCTAAACGTAACGCTAACCTTAACCAAAACTATATGCTTGATCGGTGCTTTATTAATATCTTACCCCTAACAGGGGAAATCCACACGTCATGCGACAGTCTAATACTTCAGGGAGGTGGTAGATAGGCTGAATGTAGTCGTGGGACCTAGGTTGCTCTTTCTCGTGGGACGTAGGTGGGTTGGGGTTAGGGTCAGTTCTAGATATTTTGGAGTCGTTAAAAGCACCAGAAAGTCGGGAAAACCATTCTTACCGCCCTCTAAAATGTTGGACTGTCCTGTGATGTCATCTGGGGGTAGGATATTATTAAAGAATCCCTTAATCCACCACCCCCTGAAATATTTGACTATTCCGTGACCTGTGGATTTACTCTGTAGTCGGCTAATAAGAAAGCGCTGAAAACCGTATATACCAACAGGGACACAGTGGGTGATATGATCAACATCACGACAGCCGCCTTTACATCCCAGAATATTAGCTGATACCAGGACCCGAATATGCAGATTTAGACATAATGAGGACCCAGCAAGCTACACACAGCCCTCAGGACCACGCAGTTCTAATCCGCAGCAGCTAATCTCAGAAAACTTTAAAATATGTTTTTGGTTAGTTGCTTATTCTTTACAGGACGTTGCAGAACCAACCCCTGCAGCCCCTGGCTGTTGTGCCTGGCTGTTGTGCCTGGCTGTTGTGTCTGGCTGCTGTGTGGTTTCACTAGGTAAATGTACGTCCAGTAGTTTGCCATTTCTTCTGGACGGTCGGCCCCCTGATACCACTGTCGAAACCAACGCAAGACGCATGGCCCGCAGCTGGGATCGAACCCGGTACCACGGCATTACGAAGCGTTCGCATCGAATTAGCCAGAGCCGACTTAAATATATATGATTTTTTAATATATTGATAATGGAAATATATTGTCGTTAATTTTTTTATTTTTTGTTGTTGTTGTAAGGAAATAATTAATAATGTGTTTGCAAAATCACAGAAATTATATTATCTTCTTCTTCTGCCTTTCTATCTCCCAATGGAGCATAGGCCCTCAACCAAGTCGTTCTATCCTTTGCCATTGCATGGAGCTCTCCCCATGTCCTCCCAATCTTTCTAACCTCGTTCTCCAGCTTATATTATATTATCCTGTAAATGATTCTATTAAAAGATAATCGTATTTGTTTTAGGAAAAATTGAATATTTTTTTCACCACATTAAATTCTCACCCACAAAGCGCGTAGGTACAAAATGGAGACCAAGAAAATGTAGACCTGATAGAATACACTGAAACAGTATGAAAAAGAATACAAAAAAAAAAAAACTGTACTCAACAAAAGCTTTAAAACGCCCCCCCCCCCCCCCCCCCTTCTCTCTCTCTCTCTCTCTCTCCTCTCTCTCTCTCTCTTTCTCTCTTGTCCTACCCCCCCCCCCCCTTCCCCGTTGAACGTGGAGAAAGTTTTCAATTTTTGTTCTCTACAATCGGAGGTGACAAAAGCTTTTGA